ATTTGCAAAATAATCGTTAGTTTCAGCCCTAATTGTAACCAGAACATGCAATTATAAAGCAGAATGTAAGAAGTGTCTAAATATGTGCCCACAGCATCCACCCTGTCACATTCTCCAGCCTTATGATTCTCATGGGAGCACGCAGGAAGTTGGGCATTGAAGCCTCACAGCAGCAGAGATTTCTAATTGTTGACTTTCATGGGTTATATTTAAGTTCCCTGTTTTTAAAAGTGTTCAGTTTTCGGATTTGTCTCATGGTTCGTTTTCACTTCCCTCTTCTCGCTGCCACTCCTCGTCACAAACGTCGAGGAACTGCACATCTGCTAAGCAGCGCTGCTTCTCAGGAGGTTGCTGACATGCAGGACTTCTTGTGCACTGATCCTGTTCCTCAAATGTTTGTGTTTTTATGAGCGCCTCTGCATTCTTGTGTTATTTCAGCAGCCGGTGAGGGCGCTGTGTATAACCTAAGGGCCTCTTTTATCTCCATAGGTAAACAACTTTACCTCCTCTGGCTTTTATGGGCCTTCCCTTTTCCCAGACTTTACAAAAAGCAAAGAGGGAATAGTTGTTACTGCAGCAGAATTGCACCGAAGGCCATCTTTTGCTTATTTGTGTCTCCTGATGGGATTCCTGATAAACTATTTTAGCTCACTGCCTCACAGGAAGCAGAGAGTGACATACCCCTGAAAGGCAGAGAAGTCAATGTCCCAACAAACACACACACACTCACACACACAAGCAGTCAGACAGAATGAGCCCCCAGGCATTTCCTTCCCTTTTACTGGGAAAAGCCTTCTTTGTGCACATGAATAGAGCGGAGGATACAGTAACACCACCGCCAAGTCCTTCTCCTTTCACTAACGAGTCTCTTTAATTCTCTTGAGAGTTTGCTATATAATAATGGCCACCACACCAGATGGTGGATGGTACTGTGGTATTCGGTCCTTAGGAAGGAGGGTTGGGTTACTTTAGTCTTTCATGGAACAGTGGCCACGTCTGCAGCGGCACTCTAATGGATGGAGCTGTGTGGAACCTGAGCTTTAGTGTTGTGGTCCCAGTGGACCAGGAGCTCTTATACTGAGCCCAACATGGACACAAGCTCATTATCACTCTCATAGCAATGTCTGCCTGACATCTTAAAGTGGATTCAGTTTGTCACCTCTGCTCCCGGTCACATGGGACGATTGCATCACTGGAGGTCACTGTGGGCTGCGGCTGCTTAGCCCGTTTTCTGGTTTTGACACAGATTGCCGCGAGACATCAAGTCTGAGCATTCAAACAACGAACTGTAAAAGCGCAGTAGCTTCTTTTATTGTGTGACATGAACAATGCTTATCTAATTCCACTCTTTTCCAGCACAAACGTGTCAGTGTGTCGCTGTGCTTTAAGTCTGTGCATGAGTGGAGGGAAAAAAAGAGTGAAAGGGGGGAGCGCAGCTGCACACAAAGAGGCTGTTGATTCCCAGCATCTCAGCTTGTCTCCTCTGAATCCTACACATTATATGCTTTAATCGCTTTGCACAGCCATTTGCAGCAGGTGTCTAGATCCAAACACAAACAGGAATTTATCATTTATCCAGCTAATTAGGCCTAAATACCAGTTAAAATGCAAACAGTTTGAAGTTATAACATCCACTAATATAAGAATATAAGCATCCTTATTTTGATACAGTTCATTCGAGCATATGTTAGTTACTTACTTAAGATTTTTCAAAGTTTGTTTGACTTCACTTCCCACATTGATCTGGAGCTACTTTTGGTGAGCAAACAAAACAAAACAAACAAAAGCTCTGCACCTCCAACTAAATATCGATTTTCACCATTTCTTCTCCTTATTCCATTTCTTTTCCATAAATGTTTTAAAAAAAAAAAAAAAACTTTTGTTGAAGCTGAGCTTGAATCTTGTGTATAAGGGTGTCTTCATTTCAATTGAATCTTTATTGCTTTTTTCCCAACTTTAAAAAAAAAAATGAAATAGTACTGTCTGCTGTGGAGGTTTTGTGCAGATCCAGACTTTTTCCAGAGATCGTCTTAGGGTTGAATTTCAGTTTTTTCAATTTGAAATATTTTCTTCAGTTTTTTATAGAGTTGCATCACTATAAACCCAGCAGTAGACATTATAAGCCTCTATGTAGTGATGCACCAATATGATATTTGGATTGGATCGACTCATGTTAAGCAATTAGCTGCATAAATGTTTGAATGAATGATGCTAATCCATCATTCTAATCCAATCATTTGTATTTTTATTGATATTATACACATCAATACAATTAGAGTGATCTGGTGACCTAACGTGGTGACTTTAAGTTTATATTCATTCAATAGTAGTATCAGATCAATATGGGCCGATACACACAGTCCAATTATGGGTATTTGATTGGATTGTAAAAACATGGACCGGTGTATATCTACTACCATTGCAGCCATGGATGTAAATTTTTTTTGGGGGGGGGCGGGGGGGACATGTCCCCTGCACTTTTTTAAATGTCCATTTTGGTCCCCTGGATGTTTTACTGTCCAAAAACAATGTTATACTAAAGTACACAGACATTGGTAGAGCACTAGGACCAATCGGAAAACCACAGGTCAAACTGAAGCCCACTTCCCTGATGTTAGACCGCCCACAAGCTCCTGATTGGCCCACCGTCTTTACTTGTGGGATTGGCTGTTACTAATGTCACTCCTGAGAAGCTCACTTTACAAACATCAGGTAATTCGAGTCTGTGATTGGATGGTGACACACACTGCAGTTAGTTATATTAAAAAATACTTGCGTCCATGATTGCTGCTGATGCAGCAGATTTATTTCACTAAATAATAATTATTACCAACACGAAGTTTCTTATAAATACTCGTGATCATGGTCATAATCTGCCATATTTTAAGTTTTTCCCAAGATATTATTAAAAAATCTTTAAACTCATAATGTGAACCTTTTCTTAGTTTATTCAAAATTGTCAAGATATGATAATTTCTCAGAGAGCCTTGTCTTAAGAATAACTTAAAATTTCCTGTGGTATTTGTATTAAGATCTCCTCACCCTTAATCCTCAAAATCAAATGCAGGCACCAGGTGCATTTAGAAATAAATGATATTTGGAAACAGGCCGTATGTGAGTGGTTCATTTTCATTGTGGAGATATTTTGATAAAGCCCCAGATGTTTGTTATAGGGCACTGCAGACAGGTTGATGAAAGATAGTCGATATAGGTCATGAAACAATATCGAAGGCTTGGGACACCTCAAGAACCTCTCTTCACACCACGAAAATGGAAAATGGCTTGAATTAAGTCTGGTTGGCTCAGATGGAAGAATCCGCTGAGAAAACAGCATAACTTTATGGATAAATAAAGAAACTTTAAATAAGAACCCATCAAAACTCACATTATCAGTTCAACACAAGCAACAAAAAGGGAGACAGAAAACATGATAAAGACTTTCTGGTTAGATGTGACCAAAATCTAACATTTTGACGTGAAAGACGAACAAATTAGAAGTAAAAAAAACTGGCATCAACCTAAAAACACAATATTGACAAAGCCATCATTCTATGAGAGTGTTTTTCTTTAGTAGTGACAGAAGGTGGCCATGATTGGTGGAAGGTGAACAGAACGAAATACAAGATATTTTGCACATGGAAAAAAAAAGATTTAATTGTTAAAAGATGTCAGACTATGATGGAGGTTCACCTTCCAGGAGGACGCCAACCTTAAACAACCAACCAGAGTAATTTGCAATGATTTAGATCGAAGCATATTGAGGTGAAACAGTGGCCTAGTCAAAGGCCAGATCTAAATTTAAGTTAGAATTCCAGGCAAGACTAGAAGCAGAATTTAATCTATGTCCTCCATCCATGCTGACTGAGTTTAAGCATTTTTTTAAATCGAAAACCTGCTGAAATATTCTGTAGAGAAGAAAATTCAAAATGTTGAGTTTGGGTCCTAAATTTTTTGTGCAATTTTTAAAGTGCATACTTACCCTTCACATTCCTATTATTATTCACTACTGTTTGTTGTCCTTCACATAAATCCTTATACTTTAAAGTTTGTGTATGTAATGCTGATTTACTGTCTGAAAGCTTTACTAAACAAAATGTTGTTTTGTATACCCTCTGTGTTTACAAAATCACAAAAAAAGAGTAAAAGTTGTGTAAGTAGTCTCCAGAATGTAAAAAAAATAGGGATACAAATAGTTGCACATGGCAGTGAAGGTTAAAAACAAAATGAGTTTAACTGATGCATTCTTTTTTTTCCTCTCTGAAAAGTAATTCAGTTGCTAAAACAAATCTTGTATTATTGTGCTATTAAGTTATCTACAATTGTTTAATTAAGCTAACGTGTTGGCCTGAGAAGAAGAAATCAAATGACAGTTTTGGAAACCTTTTTTTTTTACTTGGCCATTTTTCCCACATAGAGGCGTGTCTTGGTTTAAAATATGACTGGGCTGCTTTGGTATTTCCCAACAGCTGGAGCTGAACTGTGGGAAATGTTGCACAGCAGCTCAGGTTTTTTTTCATTCAGATATCTGTGCTGAGCTGTAACAGGGTTAAAGTACAGAACAACATCATGTTCTACGTTGTCTGTGATATTAGCACCTTGAACAGATTTCCATGCTACATTGTGATGTCACCGTTTATCCTGCCAGCTCGATGAGCTCACACCTTATCTCCCTCATGAACCCGTTGCCCAGCTTAATGGTTAATCTCTGCATCGACAGGTGGCAAAGCATCCGGGACAGCTGGCAACTCTGGCCGTAAGAGGCTCCACAGGAGGCCAGGGTACATGAGAGGAGAGCAGGCCAGGCTGCAGTGCACAGCTCTTGCTCAGGAGGATGAGGAGGAGGAGGAAGAGGAGAGCATCGCTTGCATTAGGAAAGGAAAATCTGGACGTCGCACTGATGTCACCGAGGCAACCACAGTTCAAGTGTTGAGTCAAACTCCTGCTGTTAAAATGTCTTTAATGAACAATCAGCGTTACACAAAATCTACTGGTTCACATAGTAAAAACGGACCCGGCTCTGTAAATGGAGTTCAGAACCCAGCGGGCCACCTGGTCCAATCCTCTCCGTCTCAGAATGAACTCTATCCAAGCTTGCAGTCTTCGTCTCAGGACTCTTTTAACTCAAGTTTTAGCTTCATCCAGCAGTCCCTTAGCTGTATCCAGAGGACAGAACCAGAAGCAACAAGTCAACCAGCTAATTTCGAAAAAAGAGGAGAGGTATCAACCTGCAAGCACATTCCTTTAAAGCAGTCATCTCCCACCCAGTCACTGCCACCCTCGGCTCCAGGCAGTCAGTTCCACAGGGAGGAGCAGTCATGTGCGGGGAGAAGCTGTCGGGACTCTCTGTCGGGTGGCAAAGAGGAAATTCCTCACCTTCTAAACTGTGAGTCCCAACCTCTTGACATAGAGGTTATTTCCTCCCTGTCTGTGGACTCGGACACGGCCTCTGCCTCCTCTGTCACCTCTGGCTATGAAAGCGCCACGCCTGCCTCGGAGCAAGGCTGGGAGATCATGGTGAAGAAGTACGAAGGGGTACTACAAGACTGCCTCCAAAACAACCGCGCTTACACCAAGGTGGGTACAACTGAACCCTTGATGTGGAAATGACATGCAGCCCTTGATCTAAGTTAAAAAGAAATAAGGCAAACTTTTTTAGAAATGGAATGTTTGGTTGAGTTAATTAAAATTAATTTATGTCAGACTCAACCTTGAAGCACTGTTCACACTATTTACTGTAAACAGGTTAGAAGTTGGGTCTTGGAGAAGCTAAGTTAGCCTTCTCTATGCTCCTAAAAATGTCCCGTTTAGCCATCCACCCGTCTACAGGTTTCAACCATCTTAGATGTTGCTTCTAAAATAATTCAATTATTTCTATAGCGCCAATTCACAACATGTCATCTTAAGGCACTGTACAGTTCACCAGATCATCCAGTCAAATTGATTCAAAGATTTCAACCTAAAGTAAACCAGCTGATTGCATCGACTCATTGACTCGAAGGGAATCCCTCACACCAAACATGCTTATAGCGACAGTGGAGAGAAAAAAACTCCCTTTTAACAGGAAGAAATCTCCAGCAGAACCAGGCTCAGTGTGAGCGGCCATCTGCTGAGGCCGACTGGGGTTCAAGGAGACAGAAGCGGAGATACAAAAGAACTTGTCAACCAGCTCCACAGGCGGCCCCGTCCAGGAAACACAGAGCCAGGCAGACAAGCTCCGAGATCGCTCCCACGTCAGAGGAAAAAGAGCACATCCAGCCAGTCACAGTCAGGGAAACAGGACTACACTTGAAAAATAGGCCAAGCTCAAACATTTATAAACAATGATGTTGATGGGAGAAGCTCAGCTTATATTTCTCTCCAGGATGGAGTCACAGCCAGGAACAGACGAGGAGAAGCTACTATGGGAAAAAGCAGAGAGAGCATAATGTTAGAGATTAAACTAACAGATTCTGCAGAGTTGGAGAATAGAGAGAGAATGAAGAAGAATGATGAAAAAGGGTTCACTATGTCCTCCAGCAGTCTAAGCCTATAGCAGCATAACTATAGAGATAGCTCAGGATAACCTGAGCCTCTCTAACTATAAGCTTTATCAAAAAGGAAAGTTCTAAGCCTAGCCTTAAAAGTAGACAGGGTGTCTGCCTCATGGGCTAAAACTGGTAGTTGGTTGTACAGGACAGGAACCTGATAACTAAAAGATCTGTCTCCCATTCTACTTTTAGAAATTCTAGGAACCACTAGTAAACCTGCAGCTTAAGAGCAAAGTGCTCTGTTAGGAACATAAGGAACAATCAAATCTCTGATATCAGATGGAGCTTGGCCATTTAAGGCTTTATATGTGAGAAGGAGGATTTTAAATTCTATTCTGGACTTAACAGGAAGCCAATGAAGAGAAGCTAAGATAGGAGAGATATGATCTCTTTCCTAAGGATGAACAATTTCTTGGTAGCCTTCCATCTTCATTATGATAGTGTAAAACACACCCTCAGCATCATGCTGCCACCACCATACCTGACAGCTAGCATAGCATTCTTTATTTACACCCACAAATATTCTTTACCCCATTTTGGCTAAATAGCTTAATCTTTTTTCCCCCAAAGCATGTAAAATTGTTTAGGAGACATTCAGTTTGTCCATTTGGTAATCTCAGATTTATATCCAACTTGAAGGGGTTAGTTTTTAAATATTTATTTTGTCGCTCTATAAGGATGATCACTAGGGTTAAAGGGCTAGAAATGAAACCCAGTTGTTGCTTTTCAAATATTCTGATCACATATGTATTAAAGCTGATTTTAAAATGATTATAATGGAGCTTCCACTGGTCAAGATCTCAGTTTTGGAACAAAATGGAGAATCTTTCAAAGCCATTTCTAATGCAAGAAGCAGTTATAGTTAAATGAGCTTTAAATGATGCCAGAGGCTTATTTATTGCTGCAAATAGCATTTACGACATAATTTAGACTTAGAATTTCGTATGTATGGATTTTAGCTGTATGTATAATTATGAATCCATGTGAGTCAAAGATACATGAGCCAATTTTTTGCAACAAATTATTGTTTTGTTTTTATTTGTTGCATTTGAGCTTTAAGTTGTCCTATAATCGCAGCCTTGATATAAATGGCTCAGAGCTCCATTAACAACCTGAAATATTGACATTCATGGCTGTAATTAAAGCTATGTTATTCTTATGCTGGACAGTCCCATCTGAGAAATACCCTGAAAGGATGATGCTGAAACACATTATCTAAATCTCCCAGTTAACTCGTGATTTCAGTGTTGATGAAATGTTGCAAAGCTTTCAACACTTGTTGACTGAGTCCATTTGACTTGAGGGTCGTTGCTCTCTGGGGTAACTGTTTAAAAAAACCCGGTCTGTTCTGTCTTCTCAAAGATCGAGTCCATGATGATGAAGCTTCAGAGGCTCCAGCAGAAAGCCATTCTGGATGACGACTATGATGCAGGTGAACTTTGAACAAATGTATTACTTTAACGTTCAGCTTGAATAAGAACTTCTCTTGTTGACCTATCAGAGTTTTTGTGCCATTTGTGTGCTTTCATGACATCGTTTGCCTTGTGAGAAAATAGAAAAATAACTGACTAATTTACGCTGCAAATATTTTGTCGTTGAATTGAATAATTAGAAGACGACGCAGTAAGTTTCCCTCTGATCATATCAGCTCATTAAACTATCAGGGTTCATGAAATAGATTTGTAGATTTTCAAAATGTAGAATATCATTTTTAGTCAGTGTCTTTTGGTTGTTATAATTTTTTTATGGTATATAGCAAAAAACAAACAATTTGTTCCAGTTCAGGGTTTAAATGAACCCATCCTAGGAGAGTCTATTTCTTTTTTATTCTTCACTTTCATTACAGCAGATTAAATGTCACGTTTCTTGAACCTTCTCTGTGCTCTTCTTCTTTTTCTTTTCCCTCAAAGTAATTTATTCATCATTATTTTTCCAAGCTGTTCACTCTTCCACCTCTAATGCATCAAAAACAATTCTCCTTTGACTGTCTGACTTTGTCTCCAAATTCTCAACCTTAGCTGTCCCTTTGATTTATGATGAATAAAAAAATAAGCTGCATCTACATATCGGCCTCCTGCCTCTCTCCCTAACTCAAACATAACAAATCTCACTATCATGTTGTACAGCAGCACCTTGACTTTCTATATTCCTCCTATCTATTCCTGCCTTCCTGCCACCATCTGTCTTCTCAACCGTCTTTTGCTTTGGATGACCCCAGGTTAGCTCATCCACTCTTTAAGCTTCATCACTCAACATTTGTGTGGATTTTAAATGGAATTTATTTGATCAAACATCTAATCTAAAACAAGCTACTGTATCATTAAGATTTGATTCAGAATAAAGATGTCATCTCAGTTGCATCTGTTTTCTTAGCTGCTTAACCTGAATGTTTTCTTCCTGCCTGACCTGAGGAACATGTTATTTCAAACACGACAGTATTGTGACCTATTTCTTGAGCCTTGTGACAGACATAATTCAGTAAGACACAGCCAGTATTCAGCATTTCTGAGTACAGTGATCATATGCTCAGAACATTGCGTACTGTCAGCATTACTGTCCTCATGCAGTGCATTGCAAATCTATTTTGGACATTTTTAAAGCTAATTGTTCAATATCTCTGGGTTTGAAAAGATTTTATCAGCCTGTTTTACAAAGAGAGAGCAGAGGATCTTCTTATGCCTTATAGTTCTTAGAATGTGAAGCATATAAAGGTCCTAGAAAACCTCTTTTTTCATTTTTCCCTATAATTTCTAATGTAACTAAAGAGAGGCTCAAAGTAGAGTGAATATGGCACCATGCTTGATGTTTGACAGCTACCTATTAAAGAAGAAAGCACAATGATCACAGAGAAATAAGTAATTTTAAATATACTAGAATATAAATTCTAACGAGACTCAATTGTCAGATTATAAATAGTTCTTTTTCTGTATTGAACAGTTTTTTTCTTCATATATCTGTTGTGTTTCCTTCATCTGTAAGCAAAAAGCATCATTATTAACAGATGTAAAGGCATGACAATCTAGATTTTTTGTTGTTGAATAATCTAAATAATTTCTTTCACAATAATAATTTGGGTAACTGAAATAAATAAAATTTGCCATAATAAAGTTGATTCAAAAGGACTGTATGGTTCTTGAACTGAAACCTTTCACGGTTTTTACCTTAATGTTTATTTACATTTTTAGCTGAGCGGTTTGGGAAGAAGCTGGAGGAGCTGTGCAGAGAGCGTGGATCTCTAAAACTGGGTTTACCCTCCATGCAGCCCAGTGTGGCTCTGTTCCTCGAGAGACTCACAAAGGTGGTACACAGCGCCCTCCAGAGGGCAGACTGCAGCCAGTGCAGGTTGGTCACACCAAAGGATACTCATGATTTTCCATTTCGGGGAAGCGAAGGGCAGCAGTTGCACATAAACATGCATGTTTCAGGTTGAAAAGTGGGCTGAGATACGAATCTTTTCCTGTTAATGCTGTTGTTGTGACAGTAGCTTAGAGCATAGCATGGCTGCACTAAAAACAGCTCCTTTCACAGGAAGGAAATCAGGTGGGGCTTCCACAGAGGGAAACTCTAATCTAAAGCTTATGAAGCCTTATAGTCTCTCTGACTGGGTGTATGTTAAATAATCAGATATGATAAAATATCCTAGTTGTTTAAATAATTGGAGTTAGTGGTTTAAATTAGGGGGGAATCATACAGTAAAATTAAGCAAAACAAATGTTTTATAACAGATTTTCTGAGACCTAATTTATTGTGATCAATGGTTTTCATGATTCCTTGGCAGAGAGGCGTCTGAACCAGACTCAGTGGAGCAGCCTGACCTGCTGCAGGCCGCAGTGCAACGAAGGGATCACTTGATTCAAGAAAAACGTCTGGTTGAGGTACATCGAATTCTTATTGAATTGTTATCATTGGTTGGAAATATAATCCCAGTAAGAATTCCCCTGAGATAAAACATAAAATACACATTCTGAACTGGAATCGCCCTCATTGGCCAAGGAGCAGGGGATCTGATTTATTATGCTTGCATATACACGAAACGGGGCCTGAAACCTGCATAAGCAGCTTTTCACAAAAACAAACTTGGTGTGGAATATGTGATACGCCAACTCTGACCATGTGCTCACAATTTTTTGAGAAAAGGGCAAAACGATGCCACAGATGGCGAGGCAAAGAGATTAAGCCAGATTAAGTCCCTCAGATATTCAATTAGACTTAATAGAAAACATTATTTATGATGGATGTCATCATAAACATTCATTATTGTAGTGGAATTCCTAAACACACTGGTGAACTATAACTAAACATGAGGACCTGTCACAAATAAATAAAACAGACCTATGAGCAAATTAAATCCTTAATCAGAATCCTCTCCCTGATGATCAACACGGCAAATCGTATCACAGATGGATACATTATTAATATAACAAGGTGCTTGCTGTAAATGTTTTGTCGTTTTGACATCCGTGCATAATGCTTCTCTGCGGATCAGACTCCCTCAATGCTCTTGGATCTATGTTCTGAAAAGGATTCTGTGTTGGAGAGACCGACCCACCAGACCCCGGCCGTCCCTCTTCATCAGGAGCTCAGTGCGCTCCACTCCAATGTACAAAACAAACAAACAAACGAGGGGTATCTGGGTGCATGGTACTAAAAACAACAAATAAATATGGATAACCAGCAAAATACATGGTATGTATATCTAATATACATTTAAAAATCATAGTTTTTTAACTATGATTTTTTACTTAATGATATAAACTGTGCTTTTAAAGCCTATGCATAATTGCAATGTAAAAACTTGAAGCCGATTTTAAAGAAGTTATTTAAGCTATGGTGGGACTGCTATAAGGATGGATGGCATCTGTTTTTGATCTCTTCTGTGTTTTGTGACGTTCAGAATAATTTTACATTTAATTATATCTTTAGGAAAATGGGTGGTTTATTTAAGTGAATTATAATGATTTGTTATATATGGAAAAAAAAAGAAGGAAACTCAATCATGACAGATTAACAGGACAGTATGGACTTGATAGAGAGAATATAAACAAAAATGCAGACAGACTATTTCTGTTTTTTCTTTACTTTACTGCTGCAAACTTTTAGCATGAAGGCTTTTAGCATGAAGGCCCTACTCAATGGAGTTTAGGGGGGGTCAGTAAAGGGGCCAATCAGTGTTTTAATTTACTTTATATAGGAACAATAAGAGGATAAATAAAATAGTATCACTTTTTGCAAAGAAAAAGCAATGTGGCTGTTTTAGAGATCGCCACTGTCTTAAGTGATTCCAGATGGTTCTGTGCACAAAGATTATTGTCCTCAATCAGAACAATGACAGTGCTGTCATCTGCAAAGTTTCATAGAAGATTCCTCCCAGCCTCCCCTGCTGCTGCTTGTGAGTCAGGAAGCTGATGATCCACTTACAGATGGAAGAGGATACTGTTAGCAGGGTTAGATTATTGTGCAGGATGACTTGTTTTAAAGGCAGGACTAAAGTGCACAAACAAGATCTAGCCTTGCATCCTGGGTGGCTGAGGTTGTGCATGATGAAGGGCATTCCCAGGTTGAATCCATCATCTACTGATCCGTTTGTCCAGTAAACAAACTACAGGAGGTCCATTAGTTGGCCTGTAATCTTCTTCAGATACTTCAACAGGAGTTGCTCAAGGGATTTTATGACCATGGATGTTTATTTTTTGTATTTATTTATTTTTTTTTAAATATACTCTAATAATCCCAGAGGGAAATTACTTCTCTGCATTTAACTCATCCCCTTGGGGAGCAGTGGGCTGCCATTGTGCGGCACCCAGGGAGCAGTGTGAGGTTAAGGGTCTTCCTCAGGGACCCAGAGTGGCAGTCTGTGGGAGTGGGGGATCGAACTCCCAATCTCAGGATTCAAAGCCCTAACCACTAGGCTGCCACTCCCCCCGTCAAGGAAAATAGGACCAGTGTACTTTTTTTTTTTTTTTATCAGGGATAAAAAATAGGATTCTTAGAAAGTATTTATTTAGGGAAAACAAGTGCCAGAGGGAAAGCCAGATAGCCACAGCAACCCTTTTCATTTTCAGTTTTCAGTTCCTTCAGTGGGTGCTGGGTCTACTCTGAGTTCCTCTCCCAAATGGATGTGCCTCCTAAAAGAAGCATTTCCCAACTACATCCGTTAACACAGTAAATCCAAACAGGGGGTACTTGTGGCCCTAGTGGTCTGCAAGTGCATTGCAAGGGGTAACTGCAAATATTTTATATCTTAGGTAATAAAAATAGAGCTGGGATCTGTTCTACTTTGTGCGGATGTAATTGAAAACTAAAACTAGCTTTTTTCAAGCAAACAGCAAGTTATTCTTATATGTTTGAGTTCATCTTAAGCTTTGACACACATCCAAACCAAGCAGAGGAACAGGCTGGATGTACAGGACATCCTGGGATCAGCTGTTTATCACACCTGATCAAAGCAGCTTGGGTGTCATGAATGATAAAAAACAAAACAAAAAAAACATACGGATGATGGATAAATGTTCCCAATTGATCAAGTTTATGTGAATATCAGGGAGTTTTACAGAGGAGCTCCAATTTTATAAATACAGATTTATAATATTTTATTTAGTATTTATTTTGATTAGATATGTATTCATATACATACAAACATAATTATGTTTTTTTTTTTATTTGAGTTTGAAAGAACAAAATGCAGAAGAATGTTAAAAAGGTTAAATAAAATAATGTTTTCTTGTGAAATCAGTTATTGTATGTTCTAACTTTTGGACCATCACCTGTACTTTTGAC